TGAAACTAGTCCTGTCCATGTAAGGAGGGAAAACACTGGGATATGAATGGCATATCTTTCTCTGAGAAGCATTGTGTGTGTGTGTGTGTTTAATCATAAGAGAAGTTGACAAAGGGGATAAGGATATGGAAGGAGTTCCCACCTAATAATGTGTCATGAGTTAGACATCTCCAGTGCTGTGTCAGTGAGCTTTAAGTATTATAGCTGTACACTACTATAGAATAATTTCTTACTGAAATTCCCATAGGAAAATTAATTCATTGCCAGTCTAAAACTCTTTCTAGTTTTAATCATTTTAGCTATTATTTAATAAAAATTTTGAAAACTTGGTGGTTTTGTTTTGTTTGTTTTTAATTAGAACTGGTTATAGCAGGAGGGAGTATTTCATATTGCTACAACCTCGTTCCACTCCTTTGGTGTACTTGTTTTCTGTCTGTGGTATGTTCAGAGCCCCCTCACTGGTTACGGCTTAGCATGTGGGAGAGATGAAGTTGTGTGTATTTGGGAAGGTGGGGAGGTCACTTTTTCCAGACAGTCACAGACCATATGGAAAGAGTGTAAGTGGAGATGAAGTTAGCCCTCCATGCAGGCCGGCGAGGGCGGAGGGACACGAGAGCAGTGCTGCCCGGGTTTTCCAGGCAGACTGCAGAGGTTTTCCCACTGTCAGGTCTCCTGGTCTTCCTGAGGGTTCTCCCCTGCAGCTTGCTGGCAGAGTGTGAGAGCAGGTGCTCTTGTCCCCACCCTCCCATCCATGGCCTGCAGATCTGTTAAACCTGGTAGCCATGGCTTGGTGCTGAACGCGTCAGTGAATTTACTTCTTTGCAGAAAGGACAGAGAAAATGAAAATACACACGGCCTGTCACAGGGCTGGCCTCATTCCCCTGCAACTGTGTGAACACGTTCCTGGCTGTTAACGTGCCCTCTTTTGCCACAGGACCTTTGCATGTGTTGTTCCCTGTGTGTTGAATATACTTCCTTCTCCTCTTTGTTGAGTTAGATGCTGTTCATTCTTTTAATTACAGTTCAAGCATCTCTTGCTTACAAAAAGCTTTCCATAACCTTTTGTAAATAGTTCAAATCCTTCTTTTACAAAACTGTCAGAACATCATCTGTTTAGAGAGGAGTGGTGGGAGTGGTTTTAGAATTCTAAAGTCCTTAACTGACAGTGGGCCAGAGCATCTGCCTTTGGAAGACTGGAGGGGTCCCATTTAGCACTCTGTGGTGGTCCGCTCCAGCAGAACAGTGAAGCAGCAGTCAGACAGCAGCTTAGGTCTCCTGTTGCTGTTGACAAATCATGTCGCCTCTCTGGGTTTCGGCTCCCCAGTTTCTTACATGCCGGGCATACCTATTACTGCCCAGTCCTAAGACTATGTGGGGCCCTTTGAGAGAGGAAATGCTCAATGAAGTACAATCAGCACCAGTAAAATTGAAATAAATAAACTGATGACTATTTTAAGAAGATAAAAAGTGAGTAATAGAAAAAAAAAAATGTGTCCCTTTCCAAGAGTAACTGTAAATCAGCAGTAAGCTATACCGATATGTTAGTGTAAAAACTCTGTGACTAATCAAGGTTCTAGTTACATTAAGTGAGCTTCCATATTACATTCAAAAAGAGAGAACGAGCTGGTACTGTTCCAGCATGTTTGTAGAGTTTCATTAAGCCCTACGTTGCTCAGACCACGGGATTCAGATGTCAATCAAACCAATCAAACCCACTGCCACTCCTCGGAAGGAAGGTTGGGCAATCCTACTTCCGTAGTGATACTGCCTCGGAAACCCAAGGAGGGGTCGCTATGAGTCGGGTTTGACTCGACGGCACGTAACAACAACAACAACAACCATCAAGTTGATTCTGACTCATAGCAACCCATAGGGTTTCCAAAGCTGTAGATCGTTATGGAAGTAGATTGCCTCATCTTCCTCCTCTAGAGTAGCTGGTGGGTTTGAACCACTGACCTTCTGGTTAGTAGCCAAAAGCCTTAACCACTGTGCCGTCAGAGCTCCTTTCAGTTCTGAAAGCAGGCGAGAACTTGTGTAGGTGGAAGTACCATCTGAGTCTAGAGGCAGAAGTATACTTAGTTCTAGGTATGGCCTAAACCAGTAAATCTTTGTTGTAGGATTTTACACACTTAAGTTTTTATGTGTCTATGCATGTTCTGAATTATGAGATAAAGTGTATTTCTTACTGTGAATTACTACATTCAAGAGAATTTGAAAGCTGCCAGTTTAAGTTGCATTATGTGATTAAGCCTTAATAACATAAACTTACTTTTCGTTTGGGATCAGAGTTCAGCAGAGGATGCTTGGATCACAGTACAAAGCAGCACACCAGGCTGGTTCTCTATCATTAACATTCTTCTACTGGAAAGTTAGAAAGAAGTTGAAAAGTAATGCATCCTTCCAGATCGCTCTTGTTGTTGTCAGGTCCCATTTACTGAGCTGGCTCCAACTCACAGCGACCCCGCGCACAGCACAACGAGACATCTGTTTCATCCTGCGCCGTCCTTGCAGTCGTTGCCGTGCTTGAGCCCATCTTTGTAGCCACTGTGTCAGTCCGTCTAGTTGAGGACCTTCCTTCCTGTTTTTCACTGACCCTCTGCTTTACCAAGCATGATGTCCTTCTCCAGGGACTGGCCCTGGTTCCTCCTGATAACATGTCCGAAGTACATGAGACCAAGCCTTGCTTCTAAGGAGCATCCGGGTGTACAAAACAGATCTGTTCATTCTCCTGGAAATTCATGGTAGATTATTCTTCACCAACACCATAATTCAAAGGCATCAACTCATCTTTAGTTTTCCTTATTCATTGTTCAGCTTTTGCATCCTTGTGAGGCGTTTGAAAATACCATGGCTTGAGTCAGGCGCGCCTTAGTCCTCAAGTTACAGCTTTGCTTTTTAACACTTTAAGGAGGTCTTTTGCAGCAGATTTGCCCAATGCAATACATTATTTAATTTCTTGACTGCTGCTTCCATGGGCATTGATTGTGGATCCAAGTAAAATGAAATCCTTGTCAACTTCACTATTTTCTCTGTTTATCATAATGTTGCTTATTGGCCCCGTTGTGAAGATTTTTGTTTCTTTTTGTTGATGTATAATGCATTCTGAAGTTTGTAGTCAACTTGTTATGCCCACTTCCCCCTCCCCTATCTTAAACCCACTTCAGGTCTGCATTGTGAACTGTGATTAACAGCAATAAGGAAACAACTTGATTCCTTAAAAAAAAATTAGTCTAGTGTTAAGCACACAATTTAGAGTGAAAATCAGTCATGTAAATAAGGGAAAGGTGATGAACTTTAGTAAATGCTGGACAGATGTTCACCACCTTCAGAGCGTGTGCTTGAATGGTCTGACTTAAAAATAGCGTGGCTGCTCCCAAGCTGCCTGGTGGACCAGCTGGTTTTATATGTGTCCCACGTGATCACGAGCGGATGTGGTAATCTTCTTCAGAAGAAAGGAAGGGCTTCACTTAAGCTTCAGGCTATGGCAGGCTGATCTTTCAAGGAACAAGTTACAATGTGGTTTTGATTGCAATAGTGACAAACAATTTGGTGCAGCTATAAAAAGGCCCCATTGAAAATGACCTATTTGTCTGGGCTGACCTGCTGCTGCAGGCTCCAGTCGGTAACTAATTTGTGAGCAGCCCTGGATGTGATATTTAAAAACAAAACATACACACAGCACACAACACATAGAGAGAGAGAGACAGAGAGAGATGATCTGATCACTGGTGATTGCCAGCATGCTGATGCCGGTTGATTCGTTTTACTCTAATATCAGTAATCGGGTAGGAGCTTACATTGTCTTCTTGCATTCATCCCCCCTCCACAATCCCCCCTTCTACTGATTAGGTCATGTCTCAGCAAGTTCCCAAGGATTATTATTTCATATGGTAAAGGAAAAGAAAACGTTTACTATAACAACGACCACAGTAGACCACTCAGGCTTCAGGGTCAGACAGACCAGCCTCAGTTCTCTTCTCTACCATTTATTAACACTGAGCTTACTCAAGTCCCTTAACCTCCCTGAGTTTCAGTTAAAATGGAGAACAACTTTGCTTCCTTTGTAGATAGTTTGTGAGGTCTTGCAAGATTTTGATGAGGTAATATAAAGTGCTTACCTCTCTATGCCTGGCATTTAGTAAATGTTTGCTGTCACTATTATTATTGTAATTATCATTATAAAAAGCAAAAAACCAAACTCGCTGTGATGAGTCGGTTCCAACTCATAACCACCCATCCTTGGGTTTCCCAGGTGGTATCACTACAGAAGTACAGAAGTACTGCTGCAGGTCTTCCTTCCAAGGAGTAGCTGATGGGTTTGAACCACCAGCCTTCTGGTTAGCAGTCAAATGTCTCACACACCAGGCCACCAGAACTCCCAGTTATCATTATAGAATGTAATAATATTTTCATGGTAAATCCTAAAATTTTCCACGTATTTGGGGACATGCTTGCTTCCTAAGCCTTGGCTGTCTTAGTGCTCCCTGTACTTATTGTACCCTGGGCACACAGTGGCTAGAGACAAACATATGACTTGTGGCTTGTGGTATTTATAGTCTTCTAAGCATTTGGCTGCTAACTGAAAGGTTGGTGGTTCGAACTCACCCAGCAGCTCCATGGGAGAAAAACCTGGCAATCAGCTTCTGTAAAGATTACAGCCCAGAAGACCCTATAGGACAGTTCTACTCTGTCACTTGGAGTCCCTGTGAGTGAGAAACAACTTGAAGGCGCCTAACGATAACACGCAGTGACATTCTGACACTTTTCCTTTTCATGATAATGAAAGAGAAATAAGAACATAAAGTGTCTTGTGTGTGTTCTTGGAATCATCGTATGCATACCTCAATGTTACCATTGATAAAACAAGACAGTGCCTCACAAAAGATTTGTTTGAAAGTTTTATCAACAGGAGTGATAGGTGGAATTAAAAGTGTAATTTATCGAATTTTTTAGGTTTTTAAATGTTTAATAATAGAGACACATTGTTTTCTCTTTAACAGATGGGCTTAGGTCATGAACAAGGATTTGGAGCCCCCTGTTTAAAATGCAAAGAAAAATGTGAAGGATTTGAACTGCATTTCTGGAGGTAATGTTTTGAAAATTCTGGCATTAGTAACTTAACATGGTTTGGCAGTGCTTCCTCGGACGGTGGAGCTCTTGCACAAGGTCTCCAGTGCACAGGCATACCTAGTTTTATTGCACCTCGCTTTATCACACTCTACACGTTTGTGTTTTTTTTTTTTTTTTTTTATAAACTGAGGGTTTCTGACAGCCTTGGGCTGAGAAAGTCTCTTGGTGCCATTTTTCCAATAGCATGTGCTTGCTTTGTGTCCTCGTCGTATTTTGATAATTATCACAATATTTAAAACTTCTTCATAATGCTATTACACACTTAATAGACTACCATATAGAGTGAATATAACTTTTTTATGCACTGGGAAACAAAAAAATTCATATGACTCACTTTATTGCAATAGTTGCTTTATTGTGGTAGTCTGCAAGTGAACCCGCAATATCTCCGAGGTAGGCCTGAACTTGCTAAGTCGATCTTTTCTAAGAAATGAATAAAAAATAAAGCTATTCTGTCTTCCTGTCATTAGTTTGACTAAGCTAATTGGACCATAATAACTATGTTTAGAATAGCTTGATTTATTTGCTGTCCTTCAGGTTTCCTGTGGGTTTAGAATACTGAATATGTCACTTTCCTGAGTGGGAAAAAAAGTTTATGGTAAATTTCCAGGATGGTTTGTTTATATGAAGTGGAATTTAGGTCTTCTCAAAATTTTCAGCCATGAATTTACTACTGAAGAACCTTGAAGCATCAATATTAAAGTAATAATAACAATAAAAATAATGGTAATAGTTTGCTATCAGTCTCTTAATTTGAATCAAGTGCATGTGAATGGAGGATCAGTGTTAATGGATCAAAATTTGAATTTTGCATAGATTCTATTTGTATGTTTTTTTCCAAGTAATTTTGGGTATCATATTAATCTAAAATCAGTATTTGAAGCCTTTTATTACAAAGAAAATAAACATTCTTAATCACTGACTGTCAAAACCATAAGGATAGTTTGTATTCAGAGTTAGCGTCAGCAGATTATTGATAGAAGAGAAAACAATAAAGATGATTAGCTCTATGATATTATGACAGTTATAGTGGAATAATGATCTCATTGGAAGACCACATCGCTGTTTCAGATTTCCATGGGAAACTCTTTAGAATAAAAATTTCATTGTGGCTGTGTATAATATAAGTTAAAATAAACTGTAAACAAATAAAACTTGGACTGTTAGACTCTTTGTAAAGCTAGTTTATTTTATAGGTTTTAAGAAACCAAGACAGTTGTTTTAAATAGAGAAGAGACAGAAACCTTAACTCTCCCAGAAATGATGATGCTGTACTGCCATGTTTATTTTTAGGGAGCTCTAATTTCCGGAGAATTTTGTAGATTAGCCTTTCATAGCTCTTTCTTGTGGAAATAGCAGTAGGTAATATGTCTGTCATGTTTTAGAAAAGTAGTATCACTAAGGGAAAAGGTAGGTTTCATGGATTACAGTGTTGTTGTTGTTATGTGCCATCAAGTCAGCCCTGACTCATAGCGACCCCTCCTTGGGTTTCCGAGGCAGTATCACTACGGAAGTAGGATTGCCCAACCTTCCTTCCGAGGAGTGGCTGGTGGGTTTGAACCGCCAGCCGTCTGGTTAGCAGGCAAGTGTCTTAGCCACTATGCTACCAGAGCTCCCGGATTACAGTGCACTCCTCTTCATTCATGGCCGCCTAGTCTGCCATGTGGAGGATTCCACTGCCCTCTACTGGGCATAGTTTTTACTTTGCAATCTTTGGATAAAATCCTTTTTAATTCAGACAGAGAGTTGCCAAAAATTGCTAATGGAGATTTTGAAGCTCATTAGTAATAGCTATCATCTCTCTAAAGCAGAGGTTACTTTATACTAATTTTTGTTTTCTATTATTTTTATATTGCAGATCACTATTATGTTTTCAAATAAGAGTGTGTCAAATAAGATCTTTGTGATAATGAAAATTTTATTTTTTACCTTTTAGTTTTACCACACAGCCTAATTTATTTCCCTGACTAATTTATTCCCCTGGAAATAGTCTGAAACTCTTTTAAGGACTATGAAAGACAGGGCTTTGGACATGGCCTCCAATCCAGTTTGGTTTCTTGGTAGTTTTGCCTTCTTCCTGGCATGAGTTCAGACACATTTCTATTTCAGTTCTAATTCTCAGTAATTCCCTGAGTTTTTCATCATGAGTGGAATATTTGAGGCAGAGGCCTTTGATCTCACAATGTAACCGTAGTTCAGTACAGTCTTTGAAGTAAAATATTCTATGCTGATTGTCCTGAGTGCAACAAAGATCCAAGGTCAGTCCCAGGCATAGAACTGCTATGGGTAATGTGGATATGGGTGCCCAGAACTCTGCCCATTTAGCCTCCCTCTCCATCTTCAGGAGGACCTTGACTTCTAGGACCCTTTGAGCTACAAGGGACATATTGGGAAAATTAGAGCTAAACTATTTTTCTACATCTTTAGCAATCTGTCCTCCCACACAGCCACAGAATGGTCTTCAGGAAACAGATACCATTACCTACTTCCCAAAAGCTTAAGAACCTTTTGTGCTTTCCCACTGGACTTGATCCTTTAGGTAAAGCCTTTGGCCGATCATGTTAAACCTCAGCATCTGGCTGCTTCTTGCTTTTCTAGCCTCATCTCCCACATTCCTTCCAAGCACCCTGTGTTCCAGCTGCTTGATATGTGCTGCTCTCTGCCAGTATCTGCTTTATTGCAGGCCCTACTCTGTAACACATGGGTCATTGTGAGTCAGAATCAACTCAGCAGCGGCCAACAACCTAAGTCTGTGGTGGTAGTGGTGGGTAGCACAAGCAAAACAGGTGATTTGGGGGCAGTTCAGTAATGGGATTGTTAACAAAGGCATGACTAGGGTTTAGGAAAAGCTCCAAGAAAGGGTATAGTACCCCAGGGCTAGGTCTAGTGGGTGGAGGTTAGCATTCTCTGGACTAAAAGAGACAGAGACAGGGTTTCTTGGAACTAGAGAGAGAACTGTTTTGAGAGGGCTGTCTAAAAGGAGATGACCTGACAAAGAGGAAGCAAAGGAGTACTCCATTCTCACTCTCCTTCATCACTCTGATCTCCCGCTGGGGCTTCCCATTGCCAGGAACAAGGAAGCCCACTGATACAGTCTCTAAGGGTCAGCATTCTGAGGGGAGCACAGGGTGCAGGCAGGCCCCAGGTTACAAACGAGATCCATTCCTGAGTGTCTTTAAGTGGAATTTGTAGGTAAGTCAAAACAAGTGCATACAATGCTTATGTAACCTTGTGCTTTAATTTAGTGTGAGAAAGGGCTCAAAGCCTTTTCAGAGGTTTAAAAGCTGCACATGCAACACGGGAAGGTGATTGTAATGAAGAATTTGTTGTGAGTAGGGGTTGGTTCAGTCATTTCAAAGTGAGGGCAAATTTACATAACATCATAGGGCAAGTAGGAGTAGGTTGAACGTTTATAGCCTGGGGAAGTTACTATGTTGTTGTTGTTATATTGTTGTTGTTGTTATGTGCTGTCAGTCAGACCCGACTCATAGCGACCCCTCCTTGGGTTTCCGAGGCAGTATCACTACAGAAGTAGATTGCCCCATCTTCCTTCCAAGGCGAGGCTGGTGGGTTTGAACTGCCAGCCTTCTGGTTAGCAGTCAAGTGCCTTAGGCGCTACGCTACCAGCGCTCTCTGTTGTTATATAGTGAAGGGTAAAGGATGGTTCTGGTGCAGGCAGGCAGGCAATGCCGAGAGTTGAATCCGACTCATAGCGACCCCTCGGGTTTCCGAGGTGGTATCACTACGGAAGTAGATTGCCCAACCTTCCTTCCAAGGAGTGGCTGGTAGATTTGAACTGAGGCAAATGGAAAAGACCATGCCTGCCTGTTAGATGAGTCCCAACAGTTAGAAGTTAGAAATGAATTCTTAGACTTAGAAAATTTAGAATGGAACTTGTAACTTAGCTGGTCATACCTCTTTTTATGGATCAAGGACCTAAAACCCAAGAAAGTTAAAATGATCTCTTGGAGCACTTTATGCAATGTGATTGTATCTACTCTTCACAGGACCCTTTGAAATAGATGACAGTATTCTCATTTTCAATATGGAATACCAAAGATTTAGGAAAGTTAAATAGCTCACAGAGTCTTGGCTTATAGATGGCAAAGCTGGAATTTGGATCCAAACCTTGTCACAACCTTCCTTATCACCACTTTTCTACATGACAGAGCAGAAATTACAACCCATCTTTATATGCTCTCATGACCAGTGTACACTGAGGCTCTCTTCTCTTAAGTGCATTGCTTTTGACACATAGATGTGTTTGTGGACTCATACTATGGACTCAAACAGGTTATTTTAACTCCCTTGGGTTTTAGTTCTTTGATCTGTAAAATGAGAAGGTCTGACTAGCTGAGTTAGAAGTACCACTGTAAACTTTCATAGGTCTAAGAAATCCTTTTTAACAAGACCAGATTGCAAGACAAGGGGCAAACAAGGTTGAGGATGGCTGATGCCTACCCAATGAGAACAGCTGTCTGCTGGGCACACTTCTAAGTATAGTGAGGTATAGCAAATGTCTGATGCCTACCCAATCAGAACAGCTGCTGCTGGGCACGCTTCTAAGTATAGTGAGGTATAGCAAATACTTCTGAAACACAAGGCACAAACCCAAGACTGATAGAGTTTGTTGCCAGTTATTTTATACTGAAGATACAGTAATATCATTGGGGCCACAAGCCAATTACCACATAAGTGATAGAGTTAGTCTTTTGCCTTAACTTTGGTAAATACTTCCAATAAAACAGTTGTATTTTATTAGAAAAGTATTACTTGAATATAACACCTATCCTGAGAATTTCTGGTTGGCTTAGAGCTGGCTGAAAACTAAAAATTCCCTACCATAAATGGATTAATGCTTGTGTTGAGGTCTGTCACAGAGGCCTACGCTTAAGTCCATATATGTATATCCCTGTAATAAAAGGGCAGCTTCCAACTCTTTGAAATTACGGTTTG